CAAAGCTTTGCTGGCTGGGGAATTCTGGGAGTTGAAGTCCTCCAGGCTTAAAGTTGCCAAGGTTGGAGACCCCTGTTCTAAAGAACCTCTAGCTAATAAAGCAGACCCCCCAAACACAACAAAAGGAAAGTGCTTGCCTTCAAAAAGAACCTGACTAATCAAACGTGACTGGCAGACGGGAAGCGATCAGCCATTGGGCTCAACCTATTCTGGTTGTAGATAACAGACATGAAGAAACCACATCTAGGCAGATACAAATCAAGGGAGCCACAAATGATCTGCCACTAGTGGCTTCTCGGTGTTTGGTTCTCAATTGAACCATCTGAGAGGAAGGATCTGAGGAGGAAGGAAGTTCAGGAATTTGACTGATCATATATGTATCATGCATGGTTGCATTAGAATGCGTCAGGAAGTTCCCCATTCTCTTACAAAAAAGTGACTTCCTCTTCAAGCCAGAAGATCAATGTTTTGGCCTTATTAGTGGTCTTCTACATTTCACCATCGAGGGTCATTTTCTTTTACATTTTTTTTTGCATTGGAAAAAAAAAATCAAATTTACTTTTTTTTTTTTACATTTAAACCTGCATTATCTATCCAAGCTAATTGCCACAACCTCCAGGGTAAGTCAGATGAAGTGAGTAGCAGTAACAGCAATTAGAGTGGAAATGTTCTCTGGCCAAAGTAGAACTCGGCTCCCAAGAACATCCACTTGAGTTATTTAATCGCAACGCTTATGGGTTACCCATGAATGTTCGCATAGATGGAAAGAAAAAAGAAAGCATTGACTTCCTCCCTTTATATCAATAAGTTAAGGTACTCTATGGTGTAGTGGTAGAAAGTCACCAGCAGTTTTTCATTCATTTTACTGATCACAATTAATATACTTCAGAATCCGACTGATTGAAAACAGGAATAAATCTTTTTTTTTTTAAAAAAAAAAGCTCTTTACCTTCCCAGCTGTTGCAAAATATTCGCCATCCAGCGACCACTCCATCAAGTGGACAGAAACTGCCGTCCTAAAGAACAACCAAAAAGGCAATTCTCAACTACAAAGGCTATCGCTGTTTCAAATCGCTATTGCTATAAATATTGCAAAGCTTTACAATGTCAAGGTAGGTTATCCATGTCAGGCTGTTGTCATGGACACTCAAAATCTTGTTATCCACACAGAATTAATTGCTGCCCAACATGATGCATTTTTTAAAAAACTAATTACATCGCCAAAGTTGAATATAGCCTAAATCTTTTTGGGTGGCTCGGTAGAATAGTTACAGTGCCTTTGTTCCTTTGGCAATTTGGACACCTTGTCAGTCAAACAGTACTGAGAGATCTGTACGAAGCTACACCTAACTGTGCTTTATTTAACAAACTAAGATTAAATATACAATTGGGGCCAAGTTCTCCATGGTTTAGCAGTCTGAAAAGGAGCACTACTGACTTCTTTTTTTGTTTAATCAAGTACCTTTTCTTCCCTCTTAAAAAGCAAACAGCTGACATAAAAACCCCAAGAAGCCAGGCATAGCTTCTCCTCCCTCCTTTTCCCCCACTAAAACAGAGTCTCTTAAAACTTATGGCTCCCAACTCTTTGCTGGGAAGGTTGGAGTTCCTCACAAACTCTAGTTTTAACAGGACTGGAAATAGCAATAGCACTTAGACTCATATACCTCTCCATAGTTCTTTACAGCACTTTCTGAGCGGTTTACAGAGTCGGCACATTGTCCACAACAATCTGGCTCTTCTCTTCATTTTACTGACCTCGGAAGGATGGGAAGGCCGAGTCAACCTCGAGCCAGTCAGGATCGAACTGCTGGCAGTCGGCAGAGTTAACCTGCAATACTGCATTCTAACCACTGCGCCACCACGGCTCATGGATAGAGAAGTTCCTGCAGCGTGTTTGAACTTTTTGGCTTTCTGAAGAAGCTGAGGTTTTTAAAATAGCCTCGTTCTGGAAGAAAACCCTTTGCAATTTGAAATGCACTGGGAAATGGTTGCTGAGGTAATTCCTCGTCAGGAGAATGAGCGCATACAGGGCGACGTAGTGAGAGTAGTGAAAAATAACACACACACAGCACACAAATACACTGTACAGTAAATGTAGGTTTTTACTTCCAATAAAGCAAATTCCAAAATAAGTATTCCAAGTCATTCACAGGTAAAGCAGTCGGTTTTCAGTTCAGAGATAATCCAAGTATCAAAGTCCAGTATCAGAAACAGTTCAGGAACAGACTTATATCAACGATCAGTAACAGTCGTTAGGAGGAACGGCAACACTTCCTATCAATGTTTTTTTACTATCCTGAACTGGGTTTTTTTAGCAACAAATCTGGAATCCCATCTGGATGACTGGATCGCTAGTAAGCTAAAGACACAAATGTTTCCTGAAGCTAATTGCTGTTTTTGTTTTCCTTACCTGCACTGCCAGATGCATTTCCAATCATTTAGAACAGGGTGGATTTTCTCATCTTTGACCCCGAGGTTGGGGTCTTCTCCTTCCTCGTCTTCTTCTTCCAACACATCCTTGGCAGGAGGAGCCCACAGCTGCAAATTATCTGTTGCAGTGAGCAAGCGATTCCCTAGGAGCAAAGAACATTTTAAAGACAACAGTCAGCTTCTACAACAGCCTGCTTATCTGATATAGCTTGGGATAATATGGGAGGAAAAAAAATATACTGGGAAAAAAATAAATACATTTCCACAGAGAAAATAATTCTACTAACACAGGAAGTGGTTTGGTTATCGTTGTTTGCAATATTACTTAATACATTCCCGTTGGTAGCTCCGAAGTGCTTCCAAGTGGAAAGCTGGTGACATCACCGTTGCCCTGGGGGTACCCACTGGGGGCTCCTTTCACGTCCCCATTTAGCTTCCCTTGAACTGGTACCTATCCATCTACTCACAGTCACTCACTTTCGAATTGCTGGGTTGGCAGGAGCTGGAGCGAGTGACAGGAGCTCCCCCCGTCCCGCAGGATCAACCGTGTCTCAAACATGAGCTTGACAATTGTCAGGCCAATGTACTAACCACGTGAGCCTCCCCTGTTCATTGTTCTCAAAGAAAATCAGCAACACAGTAGTTTCTCTATGAAACTTGGTGCTTCCTCCAAACCGGCCTCCATGTGAATATTTGAGGTGTGGTTTGTGCATTGCCGGAAGTGGAAAAAGTTGTCTCCCCAAAAGAGGAAATGACTCTTGGTGTTTCAAATATGGTCTCACTCAAAATAGCCTGTGCTTCTGAGCTTTTATGCTTGCAATTCCTGGCTCACATTAAGAGGTCTCTATATGGCACCCTCAAATTAATTTGAGGCTCCAGAAAAGCTACCATATGTGTACAGCCCTTCGTGGATCACAGTCTACTTTGTTAACAGTACAAGGTGGATAGTATAATTAATGGATTAGTCTCACGATTGTATCAAGCCCCAAAACATATACATAATGGAGTCCTGAATGAGCTTTTGACTCTTATTGTCTTCTACACTATGGGAATCAAAATATTTTCCCCTAAAGGTGACACCCTAGATCAAGGGTCTCCAACCTTGGCAACTTTAAGACTTGTGAACTTCAACTCCCAGAGTTCCTCAGCCAGAAAAGTCTTCAAGTTGCCAAGGTTGGAGACCCCTGCCCTAGATTAACTCTACACTTCTACACACCTGGAGACGTGACCGCATTCACACCTCGTTACCTTGAGGATCCCATGCCAAGTTGAAGGTCATGGAAGTGAGGAAAAATTGTCCAGTTTTCTGCCATTGACACTTGAGTTGCTGTGAGACAAGGGCAAAAATTAATCATCGGAGAGAACGAATGATATCAGACGTCATTCCTTTTTTTTTTGGACTAAATTTGGTGGATAGAATGAAGCAATCACACTGTTGGCCAAGAGAACGCTTCAGTGCTAATAATGGATGCCAACCACATCTGCAAATTAAGCACCTTTGGAAATGGAACGCAATCACAGCTCTGAGATTTTTTAAAAAAAACAAGCCGAAAAAAACATGTCTACACTCCTGCTGTTCTCCATGAATAGCTAATTCTTAATACATCAAGAAAAAGGCGGAGAAAATTAGCTCGATGCCCCATTGCTTAATTAGGAGGAGTGAAATTAAAGATTTGCATAGAAAAGTCATACGCAGAGAGAAAAGAGACACATTCCTGGGCACAAAAAAGATGATTACAAGAATATTACCTTTAAGGACAGGCATTCTCTTCATTGTAGAGAAGTTACGGTAAGAATGCCCACATAAAATTGTTTCTGGTTGCAAATTTTATTATATCCTGGTTTTGTAAGGTTCTGTGATTAGAGTGGGAAAAACCTACCCATTTATCTATCTATTCAATGTTCAGCGTTTTTTGATAGTGTTGCAATGACCTGTTGAATAAAATCTCATAGGCTATTATGTTACCCAAAGTAATGTAGACTGATCAATGGCGTGACTTAATCAATGATGATTATGACCCTAACAACATGGAGAAATCTTTAGCGCTCATCTTAGATCAGATGGATCAGTTTCACAAACATTCTGGGTCTGGAGCAATAGCCAGGTGGAAGTTCTAATACCTCCTTACTCCAGACTTCTCATGTCTCTAGACCTTTTACTACAGCCAACTTCACTTGGCAGCTGACATGTCGTAATGGAGCTTTCACAGCTCATGCGCTGAAGTTCAACTTTCGTAAGGGATTATGACCAAAGGCTCAAGGGAGTGAAAGTCCAATGCATCTTCCTAGAGGTTGTAACAGCCACGCAATGTAGGTATGCAGTAATCCTCATTTAACGATGGCAATTGGGACGGGAATGTCCATTGCTAAGCAACAATCATAGAGTACAATGTCACCTGATTGTGCCACTTAATGACAGCAGTTCCTGTTGCCATTATTAAACAAATCCTGCACCTTTGTTAAGCATGATGTCACATAGTGATGATTTGCAACTTCCTGCTAGCCTCCTCACTGCTTATTGCAAACTGGCAATGAAGGCCACAAATGATGAGGGATGCTATGATATACAGTACTTTCAAGTTGGTTGCTAAGCACCCAGATCATGGTCACATGATCACAGAGATACTGCAACAGCTGCCAATCAGTGGAATCAACCGTCAGTACTTTGTAGTTTCAGATGGTCACTGAATAAGTATTCATTAAATGAAAACTACCTGTAATAGCAATAGCACTTATATATTGCTTTACAGCCCTCTCTAAGCAGTTTACAGAGTCAGCCTCTTGCCCCCAACAAGCTGGGTCCTCATTTTACCGACCTTGGATTGATGGAAGGATGAGTCAACCTTTGAGCTTGGTGAGATTCGAACTGCCAAATTGCAGGCAGCCAGCAGTCAGCAGAAGTAGCTTGCAGTACTGCATTCTAACCACTGCGCCACTGTGGCTCATGACCCTTTATTCTGCTTCTTCCCACCTGTTTTCCCTTCTACTTCTCAGCTTTGCTTCCAAACCAGCATGTGAGATGGTTTTAGATTTTATATAAGGTCCTGGTTGGAAAGAAAGTATCGGGGAAGTTGGAGAAAAAAATTCGGAAGCAGGTCAACTCAAATATGCACTTAGGATCTTGAAAGTATTACTTTTCAGACCAAAAAAAAGCTAAGCATAAGAGCTGGCTGCGAAATATGTAGTTCTAATCTTAAAAACAACATTGGGAAAGAAATAATCCATGAGCAGCGGAAGGTAAAAAGGACAACGGAAACCACATAATACTTACACAATTTCTCTTATGAGAATTTACCCCCAGGGGCTCAAAAATACACACAGTGTTTCCATAAGACGCAGCAATCTGAGGAGGGAAGAAAAAGCAAAAAGCGAATCTGCATTTAAACCCACAATATATGACACTGAGGAAAAGAAAAGAAAGAAGAAAGCATCTCTCAATATTTTTCTAACAATCCTACCACCAACGAGCGATTCAACCCAGAAATGAATTATCTTCTTTTTAAACAGGGTGGAACTTTCGCTGCAAGCTTCAACCTTGACATTTAAAAACAGGACTGCTTTTTAACAGCACGACAACACCTCAAGATTTCAAATCTCTTACCCTGCCTTGCTGGGAACATTCCACACAGCTGACCTGGATGTTTCCATGCTTAGCACCAGGAATAATTTGCACGCATTCGAAGTCGTTGGCCAAGATGACAATATCGCACCCAGAGCCATAAGCCTACAAGAAATGTACAAAAGGAAGAGAGAAAGAAACTTCTTGTCTATATTTGCTTGAAAAAGACCTGGTGAGAAGGGCATAAATTTAATTTAGTTCCTTGTAAGGCTCTTAAATATTAGATGCACAAAGAATAGGCAAAGGTAAAGGTTCCCCTCACACATACGTGCTAGTCTTTTCCAGCTCTAGTGGGCACCAGTGCTCATCTCCATTACAAAACTGAAGAGCCAGCGCTGTCCGAAGACGTCTCCGTGGTCATATGGCCAGCGTGACTAAACACTGAAGGCGCACAGAACGCTGTTACCTTCCCACCAAAGTGGTCCCTATTTTCCAACTTGCATTTTTAAACATGTTTTTGAACTGCTAGGTTGGCAGAAGCTGGGACAACGAACGGGAGCTCACTCCGTTACGCGGCGCTAGGGATTCGAACCGCCGAACTGCCGACCTTTCTGATTGACAAGCTCAGCATCTTAGCCACCGAGCCAATGTTTCCCTGCACCAAGAATGCTGTTGCTTTAATACACCTCCAGGGTTTGTAAAACGCAACCTGTTTTTTTTTTAATAACGCAACCTCTGCTAAGAATATTGTACTATAAGGGATTAAAAATGTTTAACTCTATTGTTCTTCTTAAACTTCACTCAACGCTTCTAATGCCTGTTCTATGACCCCTTTTGAGTCAAAGGGGCTGCTATTCCTTGGCAGAACCAGCGAAGTAAATCAGCAAAAATTAAGCCCAATGTATTTTTTTTTTTTCCTTCCTTACATTGAATTGTGTCTAATTCTTGGAGACTGCATAAGTTCCTGTAATATTCTGGGTGAGGTTTTTCAGAAGTGTTGCCATTGCCTCCTTCCTAGGGCTGAGAGAAAGTGACTGGCTCAAGGTCACCCATCTGACTTTGTGCCCATGGTAGGACTACAACTCACAATCTCCTGGTTTCTTGCCTGATGCCTTAACCACTATACCAATCTGATTTCCTAGGTCCGACTTACCCCAGCGCTTTTAAGACAGAACGAGACTGATTTATGATATCTGATTAAGTAATTTCCATGCAGACTCTATAGAGGCAGGCATCTTTGTCCACAGAAGAGGTCGTAAAAGACTACAATACCCACAATCCTTTGCTATCAGCCACGTTGACAGGCATTAAAATCAAAACGTCTGGACTATGCAACTGTTTGCCTAGCCTTGAACTGCAAGCAATGTCATTTTTCAGGCCGAAAACATTCTGCTTCTGTTGACAATTTTCTGGCTTGCCTATTCTGAGTTATTATCAACATGGTCCTTATCTGCAGAGGGTATTTTAAAGAGTGGGTCTGGTTATATTTAAGCCACGCTACAGAAGAAGCAGGGGAAAAAAAAGATAGAATAGAATAGAATAGAATAGAATAGAATAGAATAGAATAGAATAGAATAGAA